TCTTGAATAGAGTCTAATTCTATTGGCTTTCAAAAGCCAATAGGAATTGTCCAGGCTGTCTCTGCCTGCTGAGCCCGCCAAAAGTCCCATTCTGCAAATGGTGTTGCATCAGTTGAGTAGTCCTCGACTTACGGCCGGTTGAGTAGTCCTCGACTTACAACCGGTTGGGGGTCGCAGCATTAAAAAGGTTGAGAACCACTGGTCTAGTTTAATGAAGAGAAGGACTAGGGGTGACATGATAGCAGTGTTCCAATATCTCAGGAGCTGCCACAAAGAAGAGGGAGTCAAGCTGTTCTGCAAAGTGCCTGAAGGCAGGACAAGAAGCAACGGATGGAAACTAATCAAGGAGAGAAGCAACCTAGAAGTAAGGAGAAACTTCTTGACAGTTAGAACAATTAACCAGTGGAACAACCTGCCTCCAGAAGTGGTGAATGCTCCAACACTGGAAGTTTTTAAGAAGAGACTGGACAGCCATTTGTCCGAAATGATGTAGGGTTTCCTGCCTGAGCAGGGAGTTGGACTCAATGACCTCCAAGGTCCTTCCAACTTTATTATTGTTGTTGTTGTTGCTGTTGTAGTAGTAGTATATAAAAAGTGTGTTTCTCTGTGTATGTATATATGTATATAAATATTTGGATTCTAAGGGCTATTTTCCAAGTCTTAAGGTTTTAATATTTTAAGGTAACAAACATACATAATACGCCCTCATCGTCCTATTTTCCCACAATAATCCTGTGAGGTGGTTTGGACTGAAACAGAGAGACTGGCCCAAAGTCATCTAAACAACTTTTACTAGATGAGGGTGATCTCCTGGTTTCTAGGCCAGCATCTTAACCTCTGCAGCAAACTGGCTCACATCACACAAACTGAGCACCAAGCATGAAAAAGGAAGAATCTTAAGAGGGTCACTTTCACTTTAATATGAATATAATAAAAACTTTATAAAACTAGGAAAAGGCAGCATACTTTATGTGGTCTAATTAATTTTAACACTAAAAGTCTCAGGTAAAAAAAATGATATACACAAACAATAATGCTAAGAATATAATTATTTATATTTATATTTAGAATAGAATAGAATAGAATAGAATAGAATAGAATAGAATAGAATAGAATAGAATAGAATAGAATAGAATAGAAGATGATTGAATATATACAGTGTATGGTGCAATGAAAGCTCAGCTTAGACTGGCTGATAGAATGATTCAGATTCTACACAATTTTAAGAGGATTACTAAGAAGGGTTTTCCCTTATCTTAACCTTTATTATTCAACCTAGCTATAGAAGCACTGACAACAGCATTTAGATACAATAATCAGATTTATAGGATAACATTTAGAGCCAAGACATATTTTATAAATCTATTTGGAAATATCATGGCTCTGACCATAATGCTTTCCATTCAGCTACCTATATTAAGAAGTTGGAGGAATTTGCAAAGGTGTCAGGAACATCAATTAATTTTTACAAACCGCATATGATATTTTTTCATATAGCCCCCCCCCCCAAATTCAAAAGGACCTTTCTACATTTTTAAGCATTCCAATAGTATATAAATCTTTAAAATATTTAGGCATCACTATTAATAATATAAATAAAATTTTTACTAATAATTACAGGACAACATGGAAAAATTAGATAGGGAAATAAAAAATGGACTTTAAAACCTTTTAACATTTTAAGGCAAACCGCAGTGGTAAAAATGAAAATCCTTCCACAGCTGAACTTTCTATTTCAATGCCCCCCAGTGGAAATTCTAGAACAGACTTTAAGAGGCTGGCAAAAATAAACAAATCAAAAGGATTCTGCTTTTATACAAAAAAAATTGACAACATGTAAAAAGATTTTATACAAACTGCAGGCCAGGTCATGCCTAATTTGGTAATATATTATCAAACAGCACATTAGTGCATACCAGTATGTTTTCATTTATTGTGGAAGACTCTTCTAAACAAGGGATCCATATTGAAACTATGTTAGAGCCTGATACATTTATAAGTCAATGTATTTTTCACCCAAAATATTTTTCTAGAATAAATACATTGAAAATGTTTTCACTAAAATGATATTTCAAATTTGGAAGACTAAGTACAAAGCTCTGATAAAGGATTTTGCTCCTTTAATCTACATATTTCTAAAACTCTCATATCTGTATTCTTTTAACTGGCAAACAATGCAACTTAGGGAAAAACAGATATGATTATTATCAAGCTAAATTGCACAATGAGGATATCTTGAGTATATTAAGCTATGCCATGTAATAGGAATATCAAGAGGTATAGGTAGTCCTCAACTTACGCCCATTCATTTAGCAACTGTTCAGAGTTATGACAGCATTGAAGAAAGCAACAGTGGCAAAAAAATGTCATAAAATCATGAAGCCTTGTTGCTGCAGCAAAGCCAGCTACCCTAGCGCCACAAAGCCCCAGTGCCATGTTGTGATTCAAAGTTTAATTGTTATACCATGGGCAGCCACCCCAATGCCACAATATAAAGTCCAAGCCACTCCAGCCCCAGGGTTGAAGACAGGTTACCGCAAAAAGCCCCAACACAAGCCGATGAAGAGCTCAGGGTGAAAAGTCAGCTGGGCGGCATCGGGAAATTGGGTAGAGCAACAGCAGGAGAGGTGATAATTGTGGGTGGGCCCAATTTTTTATTCCATAAAAGAGGTTCTACAAAGCTCATTAGTTCAACAACTGTCTTAAGTCCATTTGTAAACCAATATAATTTAATAGAAAATGCTTAGCCCTTACTTGTCTATAGCAAATCAAATATTAAATTGATTTGTTTTTCTTTCCTTCAATCAAGTCAGATCCTTGGAGACTGCTTGGACAAGTCCCAGCAGTTTTCTTGGCAAGGCTTTTTTGCAGATGTGGCTGCCATTGCCTCTTTCCTAGGGTGAGAGAGAGTCACCAGCTGGCTTTGGGTCTAAGATGGGACTAAAAATCACACTCTCCTGGTTTCTAATCTGATACTTTAACCACTACAAACTTCACTCTAAATTTTAATAAAAATAGCTGCTACAAAAGAATGTTTATTAAAATACACGATGCAATCAAGCTGTACTTAAAGGATTCTTCACAATTATTTAAACTAGTGTCAAATATACCCTACCATACTAGGGAACTTTCTTGGCCTCTAAAATTAATAACTTGCACAATAAAAGGAAGAACCCAATTAACCTCACACTTCACCAATAAGAATAAATTCTTATTCCAGTAAGTTTTTATTAGCACTCCTTCCAAACAAAATTCTTCAAATTGATGGCTAATTGAAACAGAACAATACAGATTGCTTCACAAATAGCTCTCTATGTGATAATTTTCACATGCAATGGCAGATTTAAAAGGTTGAAATAAAAAAAAACCCTAAATTTACAGCAGAGCTACTTCACATTAACATTTAGTGAAGCAGAAACAGTTTCATGTCTTCCCTTCCATAGTGGACTGCATGCATTCCTGCCCTGACAGAATAAGGTATGTAGGTCACTGCCATTATTTTTATTTATTCAGAATATACAATGCAAGAACTTTCACAAATAGCTGATTTGGATTTCCCAATCATGAAACTAAGAAGCATCATACCGAGTTCCAGTCTTCCTTCTAGCTTTCAATTTAGAATTCAGTAATTAGTGCCATTAGTTTACTCAGCCAAGACTACTAGATCCACTTTTTTCTCCACTGAGCTAGCCAGAACATCTATTACTGCTTCTACCCTGGAGAACTTATGGCAAGGCATAATAAACAGAAGATAATGAAAAGAAAACGTAGCTATATAATCAAGTATCACAATAAGAATCTCTCCATTACAATCACATAACAGTATCTTCCATTCTAAAGGTGACACAGTGACAACCTTTCACTGGTAATATGACCAATTACACAACTGGACATTAGACAGTTATTTTCTTATCTATAGAGAGAACATTTTAGCAAATACAGACAACTCACTAAGGATTTGCAATATAAATTGATGGTAAAGTACTTAAGACCAACATATTTACTATATTAATTAAATGGTCTATTTAACATGGAATATCAATCCTCTAATCACATCTCATTTAAAGTTATTTCAATTAACAACTCTAAAGTACACCAGCACAGACCCTACTGTTCTAGGCTCATTAACATCATTTTCATTATCTGTCAAATCAGGGAGTAAAAGGCAGAAACTATAAACACTCTCTAGAGTAGCCCCCTTTCCTACTTAAGAGATTATTAGGAGAACAAGCTGCAGTATTTCTCATTAGCTGCTGAGTTGGGGGGGAGGGGGGGAGACTTACCATACACTGAAACAATAGATGAAATCAGTAAAGAGACAGTTTTTCATGCATTCAAGGGTAATCTGTCCTTAGTCAAACAAAATCAATCTAAATTGTTGATGAGGCATCTAAAGCAAATTGAGTTATAGGATGAAGAAGAGCTGAGCACGAAGATTTAAATACACCATGAGTATGGATGTTAGAACCTATCAAATGTTATTCTTACAAGAAAAAAACCACTTTCAATTTGCTTGGTCTAGTGCAGGGGTAGGCAACTTTGGCTCTTTTATGACTCATGGACTTCAACTCCCAGCTGGCACAGGAATTCTGGGAGTTGAAGTCCACGAGTCATAAAAGAACCAAGGTTGCCTATCCCTGGTCTAGTGGTTAAGGTACTGGGCTAGAAACCAGGAGACTATGAGTTCTAGTCCCGCCTTAGTCATGAAAGTCAGCTGGGGATTTGGAGCCAGTCATTCCTTCTCAGCCCAACTCACCTCACAGGGTTGTTCCCGTGGGGAACATAGGAGGAGGAAGGAGTATTAGGTATGTTCGCCATCTATTTATAAAAATAATTAAGGTAGGATTCTTTTAAAAAATAAATAAAATTTTAAAATTTAACTAATAGGTTATTCTTCATACACTGTGCATTTTTATAAACATAAATGCCAAGAAACACGACAACAATAATCTTAAAATATCAGATTAAAGCAACGTATAAAGTAACATGAATTTTTTTACCTGTATATTCGCTAGTGAAGACAACAAAGAAAGGAGTCACCAGATCATTTATGCCCTGAACATATCCACTGGCTGGATGACGTATTGCCCAGATAAACAAAATTCTTTCAAAAATCTAGGGGGGAAAATATAAGGAACCAAAATGTAATTATGGCAGAAGGCACATATGTCCGAAATTCATGTACTGGATATGTTGAAAACGGTTCTTCCTTTGAGGCTCTAATGCAGTGGAAACCATCTCTAAGAAGATACATTTGGCTACCATGTTTTGATACTCAGAAGAAGGGTAGAAAATGTGTCTCTTTCACCAACCTTTAACAGATTTTAATGATATAGGATGTAATTTTGATTTTAATTATATTATTTTTGTTATATATTATAATTTGCAATTTCTTAATTATTGGAAGCCACCTTGCATGTTTATAGGAACAGAAATATAAATATAATATTAAGTAAAAATAAAAAATAAATAGCTAGATGATGAATGAGGAATCTCAATGAATCTACATAAGATCTCAGTTAGCACCAACATATTAGTGATGTTGTTAAAACACATTGCAATAAAAATGCAAGAACCATGCCTAACTCTTGGAAAATAATATTTATAACAGAATTTATATAGTATTGATATACAATGTTCAGCTAACAAAACTGAATTAGCCAATATATACTGTACTTTTACATAGATTCCATATATAAATATTTGCTGAATTTGAACAAAGAGATAACAGTAGCGAAATCAGCTAATTCCAGCCTTTTTAGAGAACTTTAAAATGAGAAATATAAAGCAGTAAGAATTAAATAGCTTGAAGAAAAATACATTTTTTAAAAAAATCAATGTCCATGAAAGCATATTCATATACATAAATGTATATATTAATATTCCTTTATCAGAGTTGTACATCAAGTCCCATGAGTCTTGTAAACAATCTTTGTAGCTGTAATACTGACATTCTTATATGCCAATTATGGAGGAATATTTCAAATTGAGGGCTGCTGTAAATGATTCTTTGTTTGTAGATGTTTTGGGAAGTTCATGCTCTCTAGCATTCATATATACTTATTCTAATTAACATAGTACAAACTTTACATATTGAGATCATTGATATGTATTATGTTATAGGATTAACATCAAGGCTCTAAATGTTTTACAATGTAGGATTAATATCAAGGGAAAGTAGAATTGCTTATTTCTCTCTAAAGCTTACTGTATAATTGCAGATTCCCCCCCCCCCGCCTATAATCTGAGATTACTCGTTTCTTGTGAATATCATTAGGGCAATGTAGTAGACTGAGCTAAAGAAATTCTTGATATACTGTAAAAAACATAGTAGTTGAAAAATGGAGCTTACATAATCTGAATCCCTTGCTAATCATGCAATTAAAAAAAAGATGAACAAAAAAAAGAGGGGGAGACAATGAGGGGGAAAGAAAGAAGTGATTCCAAGTCCTTCCCTCCAAATTAACTTTACCCATTCTTTTTCTAGGATACTGAAAGGTAGGGTTACAATGAAGTTAAGAGTTTAGTTTCGTCCTGACTTTCTGACTAGAAGGGATCTCCAGCTGGGGAGTGAGTGACAACTTGGCAGAACGAGCAGTGATTCAGCAGAATTTGTTCAAATGCTAATGTGGCGAAGGAGGAAGGACAAAAGTGTTTGAGCTAGTGGTGTGGTGGTGAGACGGGTGGATATTTGGTCAGAATCTGAAGGAAAGGAGAAAGCGAAGAAGGAGAGAAATCGGGTATACAAGAGTGACAGGAAAAGAAAGGAGAAGAAGAGAAGCGGTGAGAGCAGACAACGGCACACCATGACAGCAAGAGAGGCTTAAGTGGACGAGCACCCTAACCAGAAAGTGGAGAGAACACACCGCTTCAATAGAATTTTTGAACGGAGGGACCAGAAGAATTCGAGATTGAATAAAAGGGGAGAAAAACAATAACAACTTAATAGACTACAGAAAATATATAATAAATATGATCAAGGTACTAAAAACTTAAGGAGTACAGAGAGCCATAACCGGGTCATAACCGGGAGAAGATTTGAGGACTTACACTCCTTTAGAAGTAAATGCCTGAACTTTGCATTCAAGGCATACGTGTTATTCTTTATTGATTAATTCTAAATTAACTAAGAAGATTCAAAGAACTAAATATACTTATATATTTTAGAGATAAATATTAGGAGTATTGTTAATTATTTATGAATTAGTATTGTAAGTATTTATGAATAAGTATTTTATAAAGAGCTAAGGTATTTATACATTTACATTTGCATCTAACTACCTATAACATTGGATATATTTACATGTTTATAATTTAGTATTTAAAATTAATTATATAGATACTCTGAATTGTTTATACACTGATAACTGTAACTATATTTTTGTACAAATTGATAATTATAGCTAATATCAAATTTAGATATATACTAATTGATTATTAATATCTATAGTTATACTTATATAGATCTGCTTATTGACTTAACTTAGAATTCTTGTTGGTATATCCTGATTAATTTACATAGACTATTGATATTTAAGTTGAATAATCTGCTAAGATTGTCTAAAGTTGATTAAGAATAGAGATAGCTAGGATTAGTGGAATTGACTGTCATTTAACACTTAATGCTACAAGGAGGATAAAAAGGGGGGAACAAAACAAAAACAATAACAACAACAACAAAAGATAGATAGTAAATGGTTGATGACAGTGTGGAAAAATATTTATAGAATACTGGGAGAGCAAAGTAAGATATTGAAAGAGATGAACAGTATTACTACAACGACCTTAAAGGTAGGAAAAAAAACTGCATCAAATCCAACAATAACAATGGCTTCCCCATTAAACCAACGGTCGACAGAGGGATTACAAAAGATAGAAAAAAACAATATGACCCCAAGCCATTTTGACATTGATCTAGGAATCAATGGTTAAAATGCAAGAAACAATGTCTAGCAATCATGGAGAAATGAAATTTGACATTCAGAAATTGGATAATAAAATGAACTCAATCCAGGAAGCAATTCAGAAGAATGAACAAAAAATAAAAATAATAGAAGATAAAACAGAACAAACTGGGAAAAAATTAGACCTGGTGGATCAGAAAATGACGGCAATAAACAAGGACCTCGAAGATTCAATAACTCAATTAGAAATGGACCGGGTATCATTTTATTTAAGATTTCAAAATGTGACCGAGGTGAAGGATGAAGGTTTAGGACAGACAATGGCAGGTATTATAGCAGAATGTCTCCAAAGGGACAAACAAGAAATTATGAACGAACTGGATGAAGTACAATATATCAAATCCAAACAAATTATGCTAGACAGCACAAACTGCCCAAGGAGGTCCATGTTAGATTTGCCCAAAAGAAAATCTGGGACATAGTGTATAATATCACCCGAGAAGAACCAATAATCTATAAGGAGAAGAAAATCATTACATTGAAGCAAATTCCTAAAAGGGTTCGAGAACAAGGTAAGGACTATCGTTTCCTGGCCGCAAAATTGAACAAACAAAATATCTTGTTCAGGTGGATATTTCCAGAGGGAATGCTTATTTCATGGCAAGGCAAGAAGGTTAAAATCGACAGCCTAGTGATGGCACAGGCCTTCTTTGACCAGCTGATGGGAAATGAAGAGGATCAGAGTAGTAGGGAGGAGATGGAGACAGGAAGCCAAGAAGAAGACCAAGCTAAAAGAGGAGTCCGGGAAGAGAGAAGCAAGGAACAAAAAGAAAACCAAGAAATAAGAGGTATTAAAACAAGATCCCAAACAGTTACAAGGGCAAACAGAGACTAATATCTGGTAGATAGATAATGGAATGGACGATTTGAAACTAATATCAATAAATGTTAATGAACTAAATGCAGTGGTAAAAAGGAGACAAATACTAACAAAGCTAAGTAAACAAAAGACAGACATAGTATGCCTCCAGGAGGTACATATCCGAAAACAAGATGAAAAATATTTAGAGTACAAAAAGTTAGGGACACTTTATACAGCACTGGCAGAGAAGAAGAAGAAAGGGTGGTGATATATATTAAGGAAGGGATAAAGACCAATCAAATTTATGCATAACCAAAAGGAAGAACCCTAATGATGGAAATAAAACGAGGGCATACTCAATTTTTGTTGGTAGTTATCTATGTGCCTAATAAGAACTAGGGGGATTACTATAAAAAACTGTATGAAAAGATAATTGCAACAGGTCATAGGAATATATGTATTGTAGGTGACTATAACAGGATAGTTGATATCCAAAAAAATTACATTAGCGATAAAACTAACAAGAATAAAAGAAATGTATTACCAAAAACATTTTTTAAAATGATAGATGAATTAAATTTGATAGATATGTGGAGAACCCTACATCCAAAAGAAAATAAATATACATTTTACTCCAATCCCCATGCATCGTGGTCTAGAATTGACATGCTATGGATGAATAAGGAATTAGCTATAGAAATAGAAAACATTAAGATCTCCTCAAATACGTAGGCAGATCATAATCCCCTTGAGATAAAATGGAGAGGCCAAAGGAAAAAAAATCAAAAGATGGATACTAAACCCCCAAATCTTAAAGGAAAAGGAATATATGGAAAAGATAACGAAGGAATTGAATTTTTTAAAGAAAATAAAAAACAACATACTTCAATAATTAACACTATGAAAGCTTATATAAGAGGGATAACAATAGCTTATATGGCAAAGAAAAATAAGGAAAAATGGAAGCAGCATAATATTCTGAAGGAGGAAATTGGAAAATTGGAGAATCAACTCCAAACAAAACCAGGAGATGATTTAGTTAAAGAAACTTTGACACTTGATAGACATAAGTTAAACATATTAGAGCAAGCGGAGATCTCAAGAAATTTAAAATTTTCTAAACTATTTTTTTTTGAACATGCCAATAAGACTGGAAGATGGCTGGCTTACAAACTGAAGAAGGAAAAAGAAGGACGGATTATCCAACAATTATATGATGAGATGGGGACCCTATAAAACAATGAAGAAGAGAAAAAGAAAATTGTACAAAATTATTATGTGAACCTTTATAAACAAAAAGAAATAGCATTGGACAAAATTGGTTGGAAGAAGGGATCACACCACTAGAGGAGGGAAAAAGAACAATGTTAAACAGAGAAATAACGCCAGAAGAATTGAGAGGGGCAATTTTAAGACTTAAGAACAACAAGACACCAGGACCAGATGGCCTCCCAGGGGAGATCTACAAAAAGTGAGTGAGATTATGGAACCAATATTGTTGGTAATATGTAGCGAAGCACTACACGAAGTGAAAATACCGGAATCGTGGAGGGAGGCACACATCACCTTAATCTCGAAAGAAGGTACAGATAAAAACCAAATTAGTAACTATAGACCAATATACCTCTTAAATGCAGATTACAAAATATTTATGAACATAATAGCAGACAGGCTGAAAAGAGTATTGAATGAGATAATACACCCGGATCAAAATGGCTTCCTCCCAAATAGACAAATAAGAGATAACACAAGAATAATAGTAGACATACTGGAATATTATGAAGCCCACCCAGTAAAACAGCGGTTCTCAACCTTTTTAATGCTGCGACCCCCAACCGGTCATAAGTTGAGGACTACTCAACCGGTCGTAAGTCGAGGACTACTCAACTGGTGCAGCACCGTTTGCAGAATGGGACTTTTGGCGGGCTCAGCAGGGCAGAGACAGCCTGGACAATTCCTATTGGCTTTTGAAAGCCAATAGAATTAGACTCTATTCAAGAGAGTCTATTCTATTGGCTTTCAAAAGCCAATAGAATAAAAGGGAGTAGCACAGCTAAGGAAAGGGGGGGAAAATGGCGGACTGCGTTGTTTGGCGACCCCCGTGAAATGGTCGTTTCGACCCCAAATGGGGTCCCGACCCACAGGTTGAGAACCACTGCAGTAAAACAAGCGGCTCTTGTTTTCTGGATGCTCAGAAAGCTTTTGATAATTTAAATTGGCAATTCATGATTAGGCAAATTAGACATATGCAATTGGGAAGTAAATTTGAAAATATAATAGCAGCAATATATAGCATGCAGAAGGCTAGGGTAATAGTAAATGGGGACACCACCAACACATTTCAAATAACCAAGGGGGTACACCACTGTCGCCACTTCTCTTTATTTTAACAATAGAAATACTATTAAATAGAATCAGAGCAAACCGAGAAATAAAGGGAACGAAAATTAAAAGTGATGAGTACAAACACAGGCCTTTGCGGACGATATGGTCTTTATCATTGAAGAACCTATGGAATCCGGTCCTATTCTAATATGAGAAATAGAAAAATATGGGGAAATATCCAGGCTTAAAATTAACAAAAGGAAAACCAAAATGATAATTAAAAACTTAACAACAAATCAGAAAAAAGAATTAGAAAAGGAAATGGATTTACAGATAGTTAAAAAAATTAAATATTTAGGGGTATGGCTGACTGCAAGATGTTCGTCCCTAAAGGAAGATAATTATATGGTATTAGTCCAACAAATAAAGAAGGATTTGGAAAAATGGGGGAAGCTACAACTATCACTTTTAGGTAGGATCGCAACTATTAAGATGAATATTCTACCCAAATTATTATACTTATTTCAGACAATCCCCATATCATTAGACAAGAAGTTTTTGGGAGAACTCAATAAAGTTATTACAAAATTTGTTTGGCTAGGGAAGAAGGAGAGGATAAAATTACTCTCTCTCTAAGATAGTAGAAGTAGCGGCAGCTTTGGACTCCCAGCGAGGGAATTCTACCACAAGGCAGCAACTCTGGTCTGGATAAGAGATTGGGTTGAGTTAAATAACAGAAGAATTTTAACACTGGAAGGGCACGATTTATAGAAGGGTGGCATGCCTTCATGTGGGACAAAGGAAATGGGACACACTCATATTTTTATAGACATAAAATAAGAGATGCATTGTTACGAACCTGGGAGGATATAAGGAAAAAACATTATAGGAAAATTCCTGGTTGACTATCCACTATGGAGGCAATGATCCACCCCAACACGTTAGATATAAGCAAAATGCCCAGATATTCAGAAATTTTAGATAAACAGGGAAAGCTCAAAAATAATCAGTTATTAAAAGAACAGGGAATATCTATTGACTGGTGGCCATATTTACAACTGTAATCTAGATACAAGAAAGATGTGAAAGAGTATGGAATTGACAGGGAACCAAAACAACTAGGCAAACTATTGATAGGCCCCGAAGGAAAATTAATATCCAAAATATACAATTATTTATTAGAATTTGATAGAGTAGAGGAGATGGTGAAAGAACCGATTATTGCATGGACAAAAAACATAGGGCACAATACAGAATTAGAAGATTGGGAAAGAATTTGGAACAAAAACTACACCATAACTAAATCTGCTGCATATAAGGAAAATCAGTATAAAATGCTATACCGCTGGCACTTAGCCCCAGCAAGCCTGGCAAAAAATGTACCCAAATCAAAGCCCAAAATGTTGGAAATGTAACCATCGTCAAGGTACCTTCTTTCATGCTTGGTGGTCATGTCCCGAAGCAAAAAAATACTGGACTAAGATACAAGGATGGCTACACGAGCTAACAAAATGCCAAATAGAACTAAACCCGGAAACATTTCTCCTGGGAATAATTAAAAAGAAATTTGATAGGAAAATAAAATATTTGATTCTACACATATTAACTGCGGCAAGAATTGCATTCGCACAATACTGGAAAGAACACAATATACCACCAGAGGGATTGATCATTCAGAAGATATATGAATGTGCCGAAATGGATAAACTCACTTTAGAACTAAAAGAAAAAGATGATTCGGAATTTTACGCGGTTTGGGAAAAATGGTATACATGGATAGATAATAGAAACAAAACTTGGAAATACACATAAGAATATTGTGAGTTAGATATTGAATGTATATAGTGTATATATTGTACAGAATGTTGATCCAAAGTATATAAAAATGACAGTCTGCTGAATATGTACTAGAGTTGTATAAAGGAAAATGGTAATAAAAACTATTTTTAAAAAAAAGTTTAGTTTCATGAGACATGCATCTGGGCTTCCAGATACACATACATTCTTGTATAGTAACAACAACAACAACAATAATAAAGATGGAAGGGACCTTGGAAGTCATCGAGCCCAATCCTCTGCTCATGCAGGAAACCCTATACCATTTCAGACAAATGGCTGTCCAGTCTCTTCTTAAAAACTTCCAGTGTTGGAGCATTCACATCTTCTGGAGACAGGTTGTTCCACTGGTTAATTGTTCTAACTGTCAGAAAATTTCTCCTTAGTTTTTCTCTCTTTGGTTAGTTTCCATCCATTGCTTCTTGTCCGCCTTCAGGCGCTTCGAAGAATAACCTGACTCCCTCTTCTTTGTGGCAGCATGAGATTTTGGAACACTGCTATCATGTCACCCCTCGTCCATCTCTTCATTAGACTAGACATACCCAATTCCAGCAACCGTTCCTTGTATGTTTTAGCCTCCAGTCCCCTGATCATCTTTGTTTGTGGTAATACAAATACAACTGAGTCACCTAGTTCAAACCCTCATGAATATACTGTAGTGCAGACCTAGACTGATAAGATTCAAAACTAAGTGAGATGTTACAGCAATTTCTTGCTTGAATGAAAGCACAGCTCTCAGCACAATCTAAAGCCAATTTTATTACTGAGGAGAGCTGCATGCTTGCTACAGACTTTGAAGCCTTCCATATTTTCAACTAAACAATATAATAATTAATATTGGCAAAGCATACACATCCAATAAGCATTGCTTATAAAGAAATACCTTTTTCAACACAGCATATCTGAGTGATATATTCTAACTCCCCAAACACAATTGAAGAATCTTAGGGTTATACTTGCCTCTGTTACTTTGGACTGAAGAATTAAAGCTTCTGGATTCATGCGAGGAATATCTATATGAATCTGTAAGAGAAGCATTTAAATTCAGAAACCTTCAAAACATACCAGCAGATTCAAGTCAGACATGATATTGCAGGTTTCACCTTTCAAAAAACACTTCACCTTTAGCTTTCTAAGAGCCTTATGTTTTAGAAAGCTTTATAATATACACTTACAGTTAGTTCAGTATTATGAGTGGTAGCTTATATATTATTTTCTGTTTAAAAATTCTCTGCATGCAGGTACAAAGTATGGTATGATCTATGATTGCATACCGTTTAATCATCCCTGAACCACGATAAACTCATGACATCCTTGACATTTTCTTTAATCAGTTAATAGAACAAAAACCATCAGTTACACCAGCACCCTCAAAATGAAGACAAACAATAAGACACAGGAAACAATTTATGCAGATGATTTTCATAGCAATCTTTGGCTAAGACAATATTTTTTAAACTGTTTTACAAAAGTATGCTAGCTTTCCAGAAGAGAGGAATCCCTTCAAAAAGAAATTACAGACATTCAAATGATCTACTCATCCAAATTAAGAGGGAGAAATTATATATTTTTAATTCATTGTATACAACTACCATATAATCAATCACATTAGTGAATCTTATAACCTCTAAACATTGATGCATTACAATCCCATAGCTCCAGTAAACTGCTGGATAAATTCAGTGATGAGGAATCAGAAGCTGAACTTCAGCAAGTTTCTGAAGATAATGACAAATATTCCAGCTTTGATCTAACACAGAGATTTCCAAAGTACATTTTTGGGGCATTCATGGATAATCTATGACAGAAAGACCTTGTCTTCAGACTGTCCTGAAAATCATGATTTTTCTTCCTCAGCAATGAACAGAACCAAAACCAGAATGCTCTATAAGATTCAATTTATTCAATAGATTTATTTAGCAGAGACCTGGCTTGCTTAGCTCACGTTTTGTGCAAATCAAATATATGTTTTATATAATGCTGGAATGTTTTGATATGTGGAGAGATTCCATAGCTAAAGTCACAAAGAAAAATGCTTTCTGAAGCTAGATGATTTGGAAATTACTGATTTTTTTTCCGTTTTTTAAATAATTCAATTTTGAGTCTTCCTAATTATTTAGTTAGTTTACTATTAAAAGAGAAGTAAAAGAAAACAATATAGAGAAGACTGATCTGATATTACATAAAATAACCACACAAAAATAAACAAAATCCAATTACCATTTTATAACATGAGTTACAGTATATTTATTTCTAAAGTTAGCGACAAGCTGAAAAGGAGGAGAAAAGAAAAAAATCAGGGTGCTAAAGCAGGTCTCATAAAAATCCTATAAAATCAGATCCTTTCTGATTTACATGAGAAACAATGGCACAACCCAATGGTGGGATGTTCAGCCAGTTCACACCACTTCAGCCGAACTGATAGCTAATTTTTTTGTTGCCCAAGCCCAAAATGAAGTTCCAGAAGCGGCATCCGCACAGAGAACCGGTTGTTCACATATTTGAATCCCACCACTGGCACATCCTCATATCTATACCAAATGCCAGGATTTTAAAGCTTAGGAGAAAAGCTATAAACACCAAAAGTTATTTTCCAGAAGGAAGGTTCTGAAGATTGAAGAAACTGAATAAGATCGGTGAATTAGGAAAAGAAGAATGCAATACTTAAATGAACAATGTAAATGGTTTATAGCTTTAGGCAGTTGTATCAGGTCAAGGGCCGTATTAGGCTATGTCCAATACACTGAAAGCTTCTTTCTATAACTGAATAATTATAACAGAATAACAGAGTTGGAAGAGACCTTGTAGGTCAGTGGCGGCAAACCTATGGCACACATGCCAGAGGTGGCACTCAGAACCCTCTCCGTTGGCACGTGTGCCACTGCTGCCAGCAGCAGGTCCATCAGGCCGCCACTGCCGCCCGGAACAGGACCTCTGCCCAGCACAAAGGAGGCAAAGTGGTCGACTAGCAAGCTCGAGTAGAGGTGGTAGAGCAGAGGTCACCAACTATTGTCGATTGGTGGACTGGAAGAAAAGGGAGGGGAAAGAATTTTACATGCGTGCATGCGCGCACAGGGCCACGAGCACACATGCACTGCAAATGGGGTGGGGCTAGTGCCTGCATGATACTCACTAGCCCTGCCCCCTTCTTGCATGGTGCAGTGCCTTGTATCTGCACCCCGTGGTGCGGCAGCAGCCATTTTTGCGCCTTGCAACACGGGTGGCCCATTTTTGCACGCCTGGTTTTTGTGTGCCAAAGGTGGCACTCAGAGGCACCTCCCTCCCCCCAAGGGCACCAAAATGCTGACATGGTCCTGGCACCTTGCGATAAATAAGTGAGTTTTGGGTTGCGGTTTGGGCACTCGGTCTCTAAAAGATTTGCCATCACTGTTGTAGGTCATCTAGTCCCTGCTCAAGCAGGGGACCCTATCCCATTTTTGACAAGTGGTTGTCCAGTCTATTCTTGAAAACCTCCAGTGATGAAGGCAAGTTGTTCTATTGGTTGATTGTTCTGTCAGAAAAATTCTCCTTATTTCTAGGTTGAATCTCTCCTTGATCAGTTTCCATCCATTGTTCCTTGTCTGTGCTTTGGATGCTTTGGAAAATAGGTTGTCCTCCTCCTCTCTGTGACAGCCCTTCAAATATTGGAACACTGCTGGTCCTTCTCTTCACTAAACTAGCCATGTCCAGTTCTTACAACTGTTCCTTATATGCTTTAGCCTCCAGGCCCCTAATCATCTTTGTTGCTCTTCTCTGCACTCTTTCTAGAGTCTCAACATCTTACATTTTACAGTGTGATGACCAAAACTGGATGCAAAATTCTAGATGTGGCCTTACTAATAAGGCTTTATAGAGTGGTACTATTACCTCAGGTAATCTTGATTCATTCCCACTGTTAATGCAATTTAGGATTGCATAGTTTTTTGGCGGTTGCCGCTGCACACTGCTGATTCATATTTAATTTATTATCCACTAGGACTCCAAGATCCCTCTCACAGTTATTGTTATTAAGCCAGGTTTCATCTAATCTGTACATGTACTTTTGGTTTTTCTTGCCTACGAGTAAGACTTTACTTTTCTCTACATTGAATTTCATTTTGTTAGATAAGGCCCAGTGTTCAATTCTGTTGAGCTCCATCTGGATCTTGAGCCTATCATCTAGGGCAGTGATGGCGAACCTTTTAGAGACTGAGTGCCCCAAAACCACCCCCGCCCACCCGCAGGGCCACTCACCACCTCCACGGCCTGCCGCAGATTGCCCAGGCGGCCCAGCAGTGCCATGGCGGTTACACCTTCTGCCTGTGCCCCGCAGCATCAACTGCATGCGATGGGACATGAGGGTGGAGTCTTGTCCCCGCTGCCCAGCTGCCATGTGTTCGGGAGTGACTCTCCTCTGGGAGGGCTGCTGGTGAGGAGGCCGTGGGAGGAGGTGGGGTATGGGTGAGGGTGTGTGTGCCCACAGAGAGGGCTCTGAGTGCCGCCTCTGGCACGTGTGCCATAAGTTCTCCACCACTGAGCTAGAGTGTTGGCTATTCCTGCCAGCTTAGTATCATCTGCAAACTTGATAAGTACCCGTTCTATTCCCTCATCTAAATCATTTATGAAGATATTGAAGAGTACTGGGCCTAAGACAGAACCTTGTAATACTGGGTAAGTTGTGGTACAGGATAGACAAACTTTGTTTTTGATAATACATTTTATTAATTACATTAACCATTTTATTATATATTCTTAACCAAATACTTTTTTAAAAAAAGTAAACACCCCTTTCTCAAAAAAAAGTTACAGCTGTCCATAAACAAAGCTGGGGTTCTGAGAACCAGGATCTATGAGAAACCATAGCCTAAGCTATTTCTTCTGATCAGATAATCCCTTTTACATGTGCATTTCAAATGACCATTCAGTTTGGAATAGTGTTATGGTAACAAAAAATAACAGAGATATTATTGCTACACAACACACTTCTGAAATTGCCCTTATTAGAATGATTTTAACACTTCCTTTACCTGTCTATATGTATCCTGGTGAGTTTCTTCATTTCTTGAATCATAATATTGTTCAACGAAAGCAAAGTATTCTTTCCGTTTTCTTTGCAAAGTGCCTTCTCGCCTATCTGTATTTGCAGGAAGATAACCCTACAAATTGAGAGATAAAAAGGGCAGTTCTTAATCATTAATTCAAGAAAAAAAATCAGTACTATGGTATCAGGCATTTTCAAATTAATTTCAATCAGCAAAATAGCCAAGTAAATTTGAAAATTTGAGCAGCATTTTATTGAACCATTTTGCCAATTACTGCAGTGGAGAACCAGATTATATTGTGCTACTTATACTTTTATTTCAGTATTCATTGTAAAAAATAATATTCTGTTATGCAAAGGGATAAGGCCTACCAAATTTTAAATAGACTGAAACTTCATCTAATTAAATTTAAATTCAATCTAATTAAAAAGGTACACAAATAAAAAATATTATATGAACAGAAAAATCTGATCTTTAAAATTTTAAAATAAGCTAAGATACACTGTCCTTGCAAATAAATCCAGCATTAATGTAAATCAGATTTTGACAACTTTCCAGATACCCTTATGCGATTTTGCATAATGGCACAGGCAACATCATTAAAGAAGAAAATTATTTTAAAAATGATTGAAATCTTAGGAGACTGCAAGATGTACAATTTTTCAGAATCATTACTCTGAAAGCTCACAAATTTAGACAGTCTCTTGAAATTAACTATAAAAAGTACATCACAGGAATTATATCGCCAATCCCTGAAGCATAAGAAAAGAACATGGCCTGAGTCATCTTCATCTTACAGTCTTATAGATGTTAATATAGCCATGTAAAAGGGCAGTGCACTCAGTGCAAAATAACTGAAAACAAATAAGATTAATTTACTTTCATTCCCAATTTATTTTCAGCACCAAAAAAGAGAACATCTCTATTTGGAACTCCATTACTTCCATAGAATTCTTAAACTCCATTTTCTGCTTATTTTCTTATGTATATAAGCTAAGATTAAAGAATAAGAGACAAAATGACATAACAATTTGTTGGAAAATGAATCTGAAATCCTAATAAGGAATGGTACATGAAATTACTGAGAGTTGGTAAATCCGAGTCAAAATTCAAATACAGGCAGTCTTCATTTAATGCCTGCTCTGTTTTGTGACCATTCAAAGTTACGATGACATTGTAAAAATAACTTTATGACCAGTCCTTGCAGCATTTCTGTGGGCATGTGGCTGACATCCATGCACATTCACAACCGTTGCAGCATCCTATAGTAATGTGATAACCATTTTGTGCATCACAGCCAGCTTCTGACAAGCAAAGTCAATAGAAAAGCTGACAGTAAAATCACAAGCCATGGTCATGGGATGTCTTGCTTAATGACCATGCTTAATGGTCATTAATTGCTTAATGACCCTTAACAACTGCTACAGAAGTGAGGTTGCAAGACCATCATCGTCACATTAAGTCTTGCTTAACAGCTGCATCGCTTAAAGACAATTGCCGGTCCCACTTAAGTTCTTAAGTGAGAACTACCAGTATAGGGGTTTTTCCCCCCAAAATAAACTGATTCAACAGAAATGGGGGGTGGGGGGAAATAGGTTGAAAGAATACATACACCTATGTGGAAATCCGTGTATTTAAAAAAAGGAAGTATTGTTAAAAGCATCTGGGCAAAGAGATATACTGAGAAACATAATATTTCTACAGGAGCATAATAATATTTTGTGTGCAGATCTAGTTGTTGCACCTTAAAAAAGAAATAGTGAAATTAAAGGAAGTTCAGAGAAGGGCAATTAAGATGCTCAAGAGACAGGAGCAACTTTCCTATAAGGAAAGGTTGTGTTGTTTTGGAATTTTTAGTCTAAAAAGGAGGCAAACAATGGGGTTTGTGATTTACAAAATTATGCATAATGTGGATCAAATGGAGAAGCTATTTCCCCCTTCTCAAAGTACTGGAACCAGAAACTGGATTCTGGAAGAATCAGGACAGACAAAAGAAAGTATTTTTTATACATTACATAATTAAACATTGGAATTTGCCACCACAAGAAGTGGTGCTGGTTACCAGGTTGGCTAGTTTCAAAAAAAAAAAAAAAAATTGGACCAATCTACAGAAATCATGAAGATGAGTAGCTATTAGCCTCAATGGTAATGTGACTGCATGTGACTGCCTCTGAAGACCATTTGCTGGAGGATTAGTGAGTTGCCCTTTGCAGATGGTTGGTCACTAAAAGAACAGACAATGTTGAACTAGACAAATCAGGGACCTGATCCAGTGAAGCACGGCTTAAGTTCTTAATGTAACTAACTCAAAGATGCAGATTATGCTTTCTGTAAACATAAAACGCTTATGTTATGCCACAGAAGTAATGGGCAATTTCAGCTAATCTTGGCAGCTATTACAAATGGAGTAACTAATACATTTTTGTCTTGCTTGCTAACAGATTCATTTTGCAAAATGAACCTGGATCTGCCCAATACTAATCCCGTAACTAACAACTACACCACACATATTAGAATTTATGGCAGTGAGGGACAATAAAACCAGGCATACAATACTTAAATACCATATAAATCTTAAGTTTTAGGAAAGATGACTTCAAACCCATCAGGAAAAAGTTAGATGCAATCGATTAAGATCTACACTAAGACAGGGGAGGGAATCTACTTTCTGGTTATTCAGTTCATTCCTTTTACCTACTGAATTGTCCAGGGAAAGTTAAGCTCAATTACCATTATAGCCAAATCAGAAAAGCTGTTATTTAATCTCTATTTAAATAACAGGATGTAAAAATCATTATCTGGTCCTTTACACCTCCCTGGAAGTCAGATTAACTAGCTGGAGGAGTGAGATCTGCACAGCTTCTATTTTCCAGCACCAGCTAAGTATTTTTGTTAAAAGTGTGCACATACATTCATAGAGATACAATATTTCCCAGGTATTTTTATACTACATTAGCTTACATTATGACTTTAGATGAAATCTAACATTTAATATCCTGTTGCATAGATTTATGTACAGTTAAATATTAAATTCTAGACTTCACTTCTTGTCAACAATTTGCATTTATGTATAGGATACTATTAGTAACATTAAAAACAATTTAATTTGTAAGAGTAAATTTAACTCTCCATGGGATATGTTTTCCTTAGCCCAGATGTGTCTTCTCTCAGTCAATTTTCAAGATTAACACAGGCATTCTCTCTCCGAATCAATAGGTTCAATATCCTATATCAAGCCAACTTTTATTTTTACAATCACAAATATATACATTAACCAAAAACATGAATCACTGTACAGTTTCTTCTTCTGGCTCCAAAAAATACAGTAGCCTTGTTTATTGTCACAAACAAGGAATGCACCTGTACATCAGGAGACATTCAAATTGCATTATCCAATAGGACTTTCCCAGATTCCTTTAAGTATGGCCTTCTTTGTCCCGGATCCCTGGATCCTTCTTTGTGATCACAATACTGAACTGTATCTATTTTTTTTTTAATCCAAAGTTCTTGTGAGACCTGCCTTCTCACAATGATTTCTGTCTTCCAATGGCCTTCTTGATCCATATCAATTAGCATTTTGAGACATTCAATAGAAGTAGCACTTTCTCAAGTTCTAAATGTTATTTTGGTGACCAAGTCCCAAGTTCTCACACTAGGCTGACTCTTTAGGACCTGATTGCCGCATTTCATATTTATGACCATAGACACTACTTCCAAGTTATTGTCCCTGGGCATCAATAATGGAGCTCTTTACTGATTCAACCCTTGTCTACCTTCTGATTTGTTTGCAAAGTGACTTACACCTTCAGGAGATTTCTCTTATGACAGGTGTCAGAGATCAAGGCTGGATCCTCCTTTATCCTTTATACCCTTCCCTGGAATACGCCAATTCATAGGTAAAAGCTTCAGTACCACTGTTTCACTGACAATATTCTATCAGCCTTTTGTGATTCTTGATGAAGATACATGGCCAAATACGTTGCATTACTGTTTTGACTTGGGATGTCCTTTGCTGAAGAAGCTGAATATAGATAAGACAAACACTTGATTGTCCTTCCCATTCCCTCATGCACTTCTCTCCTCCACCCCATTTGTCTCTGCAATTTCCAGATTGCCCCAGGTTCCTCTGTCTCTTAGGATCTTGACAGTTAATGATCAACTGACTTTGTTTCTGTTTATTGAATTTTGCTATCCTTTTGAGGTAGGTAAAGTCAGGGAATAGTCACAACAAGGATTCTAGGAATGGTCTTTATTGTTGTAGGGCAGAAGAACAGAATTTTGAAAGTATGTCAGAATTTCTCTATGCCAAACAAAATCAAGGTGGGATTATTTTGAGTTTTTTTTCCTCAGGCAGGCTAATCCCCTTTTGCTTATTCCCTCCTCACTCCTGAGGCCAGGTCTATTTTCCTTTACAATCTTACAACAGCAACAAGAGTTGAACATTTTTCATTTGATGCGTATTTACAGAATTTGAGGATGGAGTTTCATCCTTAGATTACTGCACTAGTGTCCTAAAAGGTCTTCCTGAATTTCTTGCCATCGCCTGGTCTTAGCCTAGAATGGTATCATTTGGATTGTAGTGGATCCTTCAAGTTATTTCATGCTTGTTATACCAGAAGGTGCCTCACTGTTCCCTATGCAAACAGCTTAGAATACGGGTCCAAGCCCGCGGACCGGTACCAGTCCATGGCCTGTTAGGAACCTGACTTGTGCAACCGAATGAAGCTTCATGTGCACATGCATGGGAGCTAGACAATATGCAAAACCACACACACACAAACACACACACACATTTTCACAGAACCAGTCCCTAGTGCCCAATAGGTTAGGGGCCTCTGGCTTAGCACACTTTTCTGGTACTTGTGACTCAAGGAACAAACCTTCATATCATGTTAATTCTCCCCTCCATTATACTCATCCCTAGGTAAGTTCTAAAGCCAGTGTCTCCCGGCTCCCAGATTTCCGTGATCCGGACCTATAACTCTAGAATCGGCTCTCTCCTTTATCTCTACAAAAATCTGAAGGCCTTTAAAATGTGTTTGGAACTCTTTTTATTTAACTAGTACATTAGTGCATGAATTGGTTAATTTACTGTATTCTCAGTAAGACCAATAGATTTCAAATCAGTATTACTTTTATATTAATTACAGATATTGGCAATATCACAGGCAGCACCTTTAAATATATCTTTTATTTTGGTTAAAATATTGATTTTATTAGAACATAGAACATATAATAATAGAGTTGGAAGGGACCTTGGAGGTCTTCTAGTCCAACGCCCTGCTGGAGCAGGTGACCTGCTCGATTCCCCTAAGACAGTGGTTCTCAACCTGTGGGTTGGGACCCCATTTGGGGTCGAATGACCATTTCACGGGGGTCACCAAACCATGCTGTCCGCCATTTTTTTTCCCTTTTCCCTAGCTGTCCTGCTCCCTCTTATTGGTGGCCACACCCACTTGGGGGTCACCACAACATGGGGAACTGTATTATGGGGTCACGGCATTAGAAAGGTTGAGAATCACTGCCCTAAGATGTATTCTTTCTGTGAAAAAATATATACATACATATATACACATACACATACAATTAATTTCAATCTTCTTTTTTGGAAAAAAAATATAGATGTATAATCTGAAATTTTAAAAATCTAACATAAAAAAATTGCTTAGCAAGACAGATCCATGTGCTCTTGAGCAGAGACATATATTCATAGAGGGAAGGAAACAACATTAGCTAAACATCAACATCAAGAAATAGAAGATTTTGTAATTAAACACCCAGATGAACATACAGATAAAAAACTATACTTTTGTTTAATGTCATAGAATATTTATGGAAGGGGGGAATTATCACTTATCATTATTTACTACTCTATTCTTTAATGGCAGTCCAGTCCTGAAACTGAAAAAGAACAGTGTTATTTTGGTCACACTGTTTTGTAATGCTAATTAATAGTTGTGATTCAAGCAAAATTATACATGACAGACAAACACCATCATCATAAAATCCTGTAGTACTTACTGACAGGAGCTTCCATGTAATTGGTCGTATAAATTTTGGAATTCCTGACCAACTCAGCTTCCGCAATTCTTCTACTCGCCCAGCCAAAAGAAAAAGAGCAAACTTAATTGAGAAAGTTGCATGAAAATACATTGGAGTTAAAGTAATTTCCTTGAACATTTCCTTATAAAATTATATGTTATCTCTGATTCTTACACAAGTTCCCATGCCTACCTTTAAAAGGTTGTTGAAATGTAAATCAAATAATTTCTGTGACTGGATTCTTTGTTGCATAGGAATTGATTTCAATGCCTGCACTTAACAATTCAAGACAATAACAATAACAAGATACAATTCAAAAATATTAGGTTTCAAATATAATTATTATCTTTTAACCGTGAAAAACTTACATTATGGAATAAATCCTGGCTTAAAGTTAGCATCTAAAGCTGTCTGGGGGCAAATTTGCTTTCTCACAGGATTATTAGACTGGGTCAACTTGGTTCTGAAAAAGATGTCAAACTTCTTGGCAGTTTATTCAACTTTAATAGTCATTTAGTCTATGTCAGGGGTGTCAAACTCAATTTCATTGAGGGCCGCATCAGCATTGCGGTTGCCCTCGGGGGGGTGGCCAGAGTGGGCGCAGCCTACTGGGTGGGCATGGATGGAGTGGGTGTGGCCTACTGGGTGGGCATGGCCAGCTCTACATCGTTCGCATCAAGGGTGCCTGTGGGGGCCTGGGCAGGAGTGGGACAGATCTGAGGGTCTCTGGCAGAAGGGGGTGGGACCGGAGCAAGTGCCAAGGCATGGTCCATTTCTTCATTCCTCACAAAGGGTGACACCTCCCCAGCATGCACCCCAGGGGGCGGGACCGACACGGCAGGGGCTGGTTCCTCACTGTTTCTAGACGGCCTTGTGGAGCTAAAACTGAATGCGTTTCAGCATAGATGGCCAACCACAAAATTGTACATTGGCTCTCGGCCGGCCAGGGCCAAGGCAGCGGGGGCCGTACCCTCACTGTTTCCAGGATGGCTTCACAGGCCACATGAAACTACTTCGTGGGCCGCATCTGGCCCCCGGGCCTTGTGTTTGACATGTCGGGTCTATGTTATTCAAATATTAACTTTGCTTCTGAAGTTATATAAGGATTAGAGTTTTGAGAGAAATTTGGTTTATATATCTTTTTTAAACAAAGTTGATATTATTTATTTACCTCACTCCTAGAACAAAGTGCTTAAATGTCCCAACATGAAATTACTTTATTTTGATCATATAAAATGCAAATAAAAATGCCTTTTGTAAACTGGATACTGCAAATAATGTTTAAAACATTATGATTCTGGAGAGATCACTGTGTGCAAAGGATAATTCCCCTTGTTTATTTTCTTCAATATTTGCAATCTTTTAAGACACCATGAATTTAAGATTTCTCAGGAGCTTTTTAAAAGAATTATCATACAATACTGGGAGAAGGAATTTATATCTGAATTGTAGCAATAGTTTGTGGATTTGTGGATTTTTGTCAATATTTGAATTTGGAGATTTTTTTCCTCAAAAAGACAAGGAAGAAAACTTTTCAAATAATATGGTCAAATCAAGTGAACTTGTTTTATTTATGAAAGTCATTTTTCTTTTACCTTTCTTTTTATTATGATTAATACATTTGGAATACATTGCAGTAATACATTTATATTTAAATATAGTGGCTGAATAAAACCCAGTTTGGTGTACTAATTAAGGGCTGGCCTACAAACCAGAAGATTGTGAGTTCTAGACCTGCCTTAGAATATAAAATTATAAAAACACTATAACATGTTTGCAATTTAGCCATTTTGGACTTCAGTATATGTCCACAGTTTCAAGCAATGATTAAAAATGGGAACAAGAGAGATTTCTGTCTTTTCTTTGTAGGCAAATTAATAATAGGAGATATGGTCTGTTAGATAATCATTAGATTTATATTATAAATATTTCATTCTGTTTAAATTGCATTTACATTTTTTTGTTTTTAACTGTAATTAAAAGAAACCCCATAAAAGTATTTTTTAAAAGGTTGGATCCAGCTCAGACAGTCGTTTCCATTACATTTAGCAGGGCTTTTCAACCTTTTCATCGACTGTACCACTTTTAGGATATGGCAATATTCGAGTACACCTAGCAAGGAGTCAAAAACTTGATGACCAAAAACAAACAAACAAAAAAAAAACCACTGTTCAAAGTTGCAATTGCACTGAAATGACATGACCATTTTTCACACTTATGACCATTGCAGCATGCCCAGGGTCATGTGATTTATATTTGAATGCTTGGCAACTGATTCATATTTATGATGGTCAGTGTCCCAGGGTCATGTGATCCCCGTTTGCAACCTTTTTACAAGCAAAAACTTGACCCCCGTCAAAAACTTGATGACCCCCCCCCAAAAGGAAAAAAGTGATAAAGTACAGGTAGTCCTCGATTATCCCTGCAGCTCCTGAGGACTCTCTCACAGTAAGTCCTGCGCTGCGCTTTGGCTCGTTCCCTCCCCCGCTACACTTGGCTAGGCTGGGCAGGGCCGTGTATCACCTGCCAGGTGCCAATGTACCACTGGTGGTACCTGTACCACTGGTTGAAAAGCCCTGACATTTAGCACCAGAGAGTGCATGTTGTCTTTGAAGGAACTGCCATCCGTGTCCATATTCTATGGGGATGTCTGCAACTAAATATGTCTATTATATTTCAAAGTATTAAGGCAAAGTATTTCTGACTCATTTAAGCAGACTTAGGATGAAAACAACATTGATGGAGAGAAACAAATCTCAGTGATGGACTCAGAGAATATGCAGCTTCAAAAAGTGTTCTCACTCAGCAAGGACACTTGCAGAGTATAGAAATGGCCATTTTGTTCCTAGAGAATACTGGAAGCTATATCTCTTTTCCTAGCTGCCTGCAGATAAATCCAGATAATCCTTGGTTAACAATCACAACTGGAACCAGTAACTCAGTGGTTAAGTGGAGCAGTCACTAAGTGAAACCATGACTGTCTTTATGATTTTAAATTAGTTTTTCTTTGCTTTACAAACCTGAAAAGGTCATAAATGTGAGGGTTGTTTGCAAAGTTACTTTTTCATTGTTGTCAGAACTATGAAAGTCGCTAAACGAGGCAGTCTCTAAAGAGGGACTACTTGTAGTTCAACTACCCAGGCACATGAGAAACATGTTCCAATTATTTTAATCAAAAGCCTCAACATCACATTGTTTTCTTTTTGAAATAGAGAGGCATTGGGAGTAGAGTGGGGGGAAGAAGCAAAGATATGACAGGCACAGAATTAGATGTTTTCTTTGGCTGCTGCTCTTTTCCTGTTTAGAATTGTCACATTTAATAAGTACCTAGGAATTTTAACCAGTATCAAAGGACTAGAAAGAAACTGCTACAAAGGCAATTGAACTCTATTGACAAGATGCTAGAAACAAGACACTACTCTGACATTCAATCTGCAAGAAATCAAGCACTTAACACAGTGTTCACTAGATTCAAATAAAAGAGAATAAAACAAAGGAATGGACAAGAGCACAAGTAACTGCAGACACTGTTGCTACAAAGTGTGAACGTACTGGAAGGTGAGTTTAAAGACTTCAAAGATTGTCAGAATTTCCCCTTTTGGAAACATCAAGAGGGTTTCACTAAGGAAAGGGCCTCTTAACAGAACTGAACAGCTGAACAGATTAGGAATAAGAGAGAGAGTCTTTTAGGTAATAACGCCCTAAGCTACTTAGAATGTAAATAACTAGTCAATATCAATTCCTTAAATCTGAGGTTTTCAAATTTGACAACTGTAAGATAGGTGGACATCTATTCCCAGAACTCACCAGCCAACATGCCTGTTTCAGGATAAATGAAAACTTGTGGAGAACCTCAGCCTCTAGATCCAGTTTCCCATTTACCAACGGCCCAATCCCCACAAGTGGTTTATATGGGACATATCAGAACAACAGCCTAGGACAGTGGTGACGAACCTATGGCATGGGTGCCAGAGGGAGCACTCAGAGCCCTCTCTGTGGGCACGTGCGCCATCACTCCAGTCCTAGGCCTTCAGCTGGGTTTTATAAAACCTTTTGGCTTTAGGCCTCCATGTGCAAAAAAAAAAAAAAAAAGTTTCAATCAATTTCAACTTCTCGCGGGAAAAAAAAAAGATCTTGCAAAGTTGGAATTGATTGATTGAACTTTTTAGTCCCACCCAGTCTTCCGTTACCACTGCAGCCATGCCTACCCAGTGGGCCATGCCCACCCAGCTCTCGACAATGCATAAATGGGTTTTGGGTTACAGTTTGGGCACTCAGTCTCTAAAAGGTTCGCCATCACTGGCCTAGGAATTGGATAGCAGCCTCCAACTCTACCAAATTCCTGAGAAGATATAGAATGTGTATAAAATGGTGTTCCTAATGTCCAATCCCACAGGTGTCTCATAAGGATACCATGGTTGATTATTTTGAAAGCCACTAACAGGTTCATAAAATATAAATGTGCTGAACTCCATTTGGGGGGGGGGGATCCCATCCAATTTTTTGTGTAGGTCATCCATGAAAATGATTAAAATGTTTTCACTACTTCAACTTGCCTCAAAGCCTGATTTAAAATAGGTCCAGACATAACATCATTCAAGTCACCATCTTCGTCTTATGAAATTAAATATATGAGCTTTAGCCATACAGGTCAAGAGAAAAATTCTACAATAAAGAATTATTCCTTTAGGGCCCAGGGAAGCAGTTCCTATCAACGTGTTTCATCTTAATAGCATAATTTGCTTTTTAAAAGTCTGCTTCTTTCCTAATCACAATCCACACCCAGAGTGCCCCAGCCAACTCCTGTCCCTCCTTTCTCCCTGAGACAGCTGTCATTCCGGCAGTTCAAAGGCCGGGCGGGCTGGATGCTACAATCTCCCAATCACAATTGTTAGTAGGGTCTCTCCTACGGAGGCTTATGCATAGATGCCCCTTATGTAAAGGAGAGACAATGAGAATGTGAGTGTGCTACTGGTATATGAACAGTGGCTTCGAGGAACATTCAGAATTACTATGCCATTGAATGCAAGCTGCTAAATAGCAGCAAGAG